TATCATTTTTCTTGTTGTCGATTCTTTGAAAGTTGCATATCAAACTAGGAAAATGAGATGAAGATGAAGATCAAAGTGATTGGTCATATCAGCACATCAAAAACTTGAGAAGCTTATTGGAGATAGATATTATTAGCATTGCTCTTCTTTCCTAGTACTTAAAACTTATTATTGATAAATCTATTAAATGATCGACCAGCATATAATCTATATCAAAATATAAGATGGTACATGGTCTTGCACTTATCCTAAGAATGTTGAACTGGATCTCAAAATCAAAGCATACCCTTTGAATATGTAGAAGATTTAAGCAACAAGAGTGATTTGCTACAGTCCTGTTTACAAGAAAATCCATGTTCTTGTTCACCACGGAAAACCATCGCTCTATATTCTTGAATATATTGATGAAAAGTGGATATATGAACCACGACTTTTGCCGGACGATCCTTATGAAAGGGCCACATTTGGTTTCTCAGCTAGTAATGTCCAACAGCTCGTATTCTAATTTCGTGTTTCATTTTCATTCATCAAAAGCTTTTATTGACGTATGTTTTCATTGGGAGCCCATGTCCAGCAATGAATGAATCCCTTGTTAAATTTACAAATAAGGCATCCATATCTTTGTAAAAGGCCACACATGCTAATAGAATTTGCAGTGATAGCAGACAACACATTACAATTGTTCTTCTAATCAATAGTAAGATGTGACCTAACAAGGAAGTTATTTCTTTGTTAATGTCAACCACCTCTATTACCAAGACTTAGATTGGATACAAATTCTATCTGAGAAACTGAAGGTATTAGACGAGGGAATGAAGAGTGCTGCTTTTTTTTTCGGAGAGAACCCTACGTTTCAATGGACAGAATTTGGATCTCAGACATAATGATGGTTGAAACACTGGGTGCCTCTAGAGCAGAAGCAGAGGAACTTCGTGTTAAGATTATTGACCCTGATACATACCCTCTGATATTCAAGTGGATCACAAATTTAATTGAAATAACTGTTGTGAAAGAGATTACACCCCCACATGCTGGTTTCTTTTCTGCAGAAATTCAAACAAGCAGCTTTGAAATTTCCAACCACTTGAGAGTGCTATGCTGTTGTACAATAATATCAGTTTTTGTTTGAATTATGTTGTTGCTTCTGTCAAGCTCACGCCCAGCTATTTCGGTACAACCCAACCCTTCAATTCATGAGAAAAATAAGTTGCACAGATTATACATCCCTCAAAAACAATGCTTGTTTTATAAATGACCATAAGTTCTGTGTTAGCAAATGGAGACTTAATCAAGAAATGAACTCATTTCAAGAGTAGAACCAATACCAGTATAATGATATTTGAGTACACTACGAATCATTTTCAATGTCAAAACTTTTTTAGGTGAATACTTAATAGCAAAAATTCTTAGCTCTTCCCTGCCAGCTTTTCTTTTGCCTTTTGAATCTTCAAAACCTTCTTCACGATCTTTTGCTCTTCGACTAGGAACGCTCGAATAATCCTGAGAACAAAAAAAGAAATTAAGAGAAATTTGGCCTCAGTTGAACAGCGGGGGGAAAAAAATAATTCATTAACTCCTGTATGCAGAAGAGGGTTGTGAACCAACCTCTCTCTCACAGCACCACCAGACAATACACCACCATAGGCACGGTTCANACCTCCAGACAACACTCCACCATAAGCACGGTTCACAGTCCTTCGATTTCTTGATAATCTAGACCTCTTGTACTCTGCAGGTCTCAAGTGAGGAATCTGCAAAAGAGCAATAACATTTTCATTACAAGTTGTGTGTGTATCAATTACCCTTTTCTTTCCTTCAAATCAAAATTCAGTTTTACGAATTCCTTCATATTCAGTTGCCATGTCTAGATCTTCTATCATACAACTATGCAAATGTAACAAACAGTTGTACAACATTTTGTTGGCATAAAAACAAACCTCCTACAGGTAAGCTAAATCAATACTTTCATGATTTTATACTATGAAATAAAATCTAAGAGAGATTCAATTCAAATCAGACGCTTCAAGAATGTAGCAGTGACTGAAAATCATCAAAAATTCTCACATCAAGAGGAATATCCTGAACATTCATAATTCTAGTGGAGCAACAATCGACATTGCCTAGGAACAATACGTGATACAGAGTGCACAATTAAAAATCAGGACATCAAACAAATGTACAAGTCAATATAAATGTTAAAATCAATTTTATTCCAAATGCTTAACAAGTATCAAACAATTGAAAATTGAACTTACAATTAACTTTGAGCAAAGTTTTTTTATTAATTTTGAATATTGAAAGCTGACTAAGGGAACTCATTGATAAATATGGATAAGATTTGTAATATCAAACCTTACAAGAATGACTTAACAAAAATACATAGCCACCCACTCCACTTCCAACCCATAACCAGACAACATTTGTTACGTCTCAGTACAATCAGGGGGAAATATAAAGTTTACGCATAAACTTTTCATTGAAAGAAATCACCATGACAATCACTTACAAAAATATAAATCAATGCCAACAAGAAACTCTTCACTATTTTTTGTTTTCTGGTAACTGCAAGGGTTATAATAATTAGAACTTGCTGTGCCTCGTCAGTATGTCTCCTAATGCTTAACAGATTAATAAGCTAAATGACTGAAAACAAATTCTTAACGTGCCATATCTACCAAAAAAGTGAACCATATGATATGCATAGTTTATAAGCTGGTTCAAAAATATATATGTATTTCAGGACACAGCTCCATATATTAGATTCTACAATCTATAACATGGTATTAAAGCTCCACAATTGTCACAAAAACTCTTTGGCAAGTCATTTCAGCTACTTCAGACCCTTTGATGATTCACTTGCATACTTACTAAAAAAAAACACTGGACTATGTAAACAATAATTTCAAGTTGACATTAATTCTTTTAACTGTTTGAAATTTCTAATTCCTTATTCATACACAAAGATTTGTATCATCGAATTAGAGTCAAAGTCAAAATTATTATTAACAAAATCAGGCCAAAGCTTCACCACGAGTCAATCCAAAACTTTAAACATAGTTACTACTCCAAAAGTTAGCTTACATGTGCAAATTACACGATGTGCTATAGTAGCCACAGTCGACATCTTATTTTCTTTGCTCTTCAATTTTCCAACCAAAATCAATTCAACACAACCTTATCACATATTTATTCCAGAATCGAGGAAGGCTAAATGAATCGTATTTTCAGACTCTAATTCCAAACTTGAACCCACAACGCATATAATTTCCAGCTAAAGCTACTGAAACTATAGCAGAAATCAAAATCAACACCTAATGCATTTAAATGAACATAAATCCCTAAAGAGACCAGAACATTCATAAAACCAAAAAAGTCAGATAATCCAAAACCCTTTCAGAATTCACTTGTCACGGAATTAACATTTGCATATATACAATATCAAGCAGTACAATTCAACTGCATTACCCCTTGAATTCTCTTTCCAGTGACGGGGCATTTGGGCCCACTTGCCCTCTTCTTGGTGCTTTGATATACCAACTTCCCACCTATATGCTCATTTACAGATAAATAAATATACCAAACAACTCTAAACATTAGAAAAACTGATTACAAACATACAAAAACGTGTCTATATAGAAGTATATATATATAGATGTTTGTTTGTGTACGACATATGGATACCGGGAGTTTTGACGATCCGGTGTTGGTTGGATTTTGTGGCATAGCTATGTCGTTTCCGGTAAGTGAGGCGCTGCACCATCTTCGGGACCTCTCTCTCTACTCTAGATGCTCGTTACTGCTAAAAGTAATAGTAGGTCCTTGAAGAATTAAAACCTAACAGGTGACCTATATCCGACGGATGGTGACAGTTTAAGCGACGGTCAGGATTGAGCCACGTTATACTAGCCAGTTCGGGACCCGGTTCGTCTTGAATGAGCTGGGTTGGTTCAAATGGGTCTTTGCCCGATATTGAGGGCTAGGAACCACATATTTTCGGAAAATAAATACTAAGACTTTAATAACATCTTTGTATATTTTAATGGTAATTAGCATAAAACGTTTCTATCTTTCGATATTTTTGAGCAAAACATTCTTATGTTTCACTTTTTAATATTTTCACCCGTATTTTTACATTTCATTGTTAAAAAAATCTACTTATCGTCAGTAGCACATTAACTTAACACAAAAGGCCGATTTTCTTTTCAAAGAGGAAGGGTCTTATAATTTTAGCCCCTATTTGGGCCACATTTCGACCTGAAAATGTAGACAAAATATGAACGTTGGAACAGCATATCCAGACATCGCAGTACATTTTCACAGTGCAAACAGTGAAATAGCAGAGGAACTGGCCGAATTTACCCTTAACTCAAACCAATTGCCAAGATTTTTCCCCTTCAAAATGATTTTTCTCTCATTTTCTCTCACGTAACAGTTGCAATTGAAAGCTAATCCATTTCTATAGACCCAGCTACCGTATTTCGATGAGTTTTTCAAGGTTTAGCCGATTTGGTGCATCCACTGCACAAACAACCGGAAATAAACCGGCTTCCCCACCATAAAATTGGGCAGTCCAACTGTACTAGCGCCGCCTCCGCCACTTCAACTGCTACACCGAAGGCATGGACCCATTCAATTCTCGGGTGGATTCTGAACCTTGGCTGCTACCCCTTATCGTATGTTTTTTTTTATAAACCTTTCCAAACCCATTTCTTAAACTTGTAGACCGGTGAAATTCGTGGTTCGGGTTAGTCATTCGCTGTTGCCAACTGCCCGAACGTTGAATCGTCCCAAAAATATGGGAGATGGAGAAATGTAGAGCGGCGAACGTTTATAGCGGCCTGTGAAACTGCCATTGCTGAAGGCTATTGACACGACAAGTGTTTCGTGAAACACAGGTGAGAACGTGTTGTGACGTTGTTCAATTCTATCTCCGGCCACCATTGGAGTAAACTCCAATTGCGCAACCACTGAGACGCAATGCGTCGGGAACACAAACGGCTAACGGAATTGTTGGCTTGTACCAGGGTCGAATACAACCCGTCAGAGGGTCGATCGTAGCATCCGACGAAGGTGGCCCCGAAAATTGAAGGTGTGGTTTTTGAATTACTGTTTGACATTCACTTTAACATGTATATTGTGGTCAATGCGTCAAGTTACGATTTTTTATTAGATCAGGGCTACATAGTTCTCATTTGATATGCTTTTATTGTGATGTAACTCCGGTCACCTTCAAAGTGTCTAAAAAATATTTTACATGATGCACTGGAAGATAAAACTATAGAGATATTGAACTTGTAAGCTTGGCATGGGAAGTAACATTTTCGTGGTTGATTATTTAGCAGTAGAATCTGATTGCAGGACCTACAAACAGTGATCAAATTTTTGTTTACATAACCTCCTCTGTTACACTCATCAGTCATCTAGCAATGCTTCAAAGTACATTACGATATCCGCATCACGTTACTTTAATCAAATGTGCTAACGCAATTGCAGAAGAATAAGGAGTACAAGGACTTCAAGGACAAAGACGTCAGTGAAATCTACGTCCGATATCGTCGGCTTTTCGGTGATAGCTACGACGGTGACAAATACACAGTCACCCCTACCAAGTTATGTTGTACATGCTTAAGTTTGTTTGAGGACAGTGTTGTCGAAGACCAAAGGGATGCAATCCCTGTTGACGAGGAGAGTACTGATTCAAGCTATGAGGGCGACGAACAAAAAAAATACTTCAAGCATGCACATTTCGAATGCCAGAAGCGACAAAAAGAGGAAGTCGGCGTCGAGCAGGCAAAAAGGGATGAATAAAAAGGTTTCTGCTCGGGAGTTGTTGTATTCAGTTGATCGGGCTAATAGTGTCATCGAGGAAGTGGCGACGAAAATTAACACCATCATGGCGCCGAGTAAAAATGCAGAAGTTGCCTGAGTCGAAGAATTGCTTACAGCAGGAAGGCTCAAGCGACGCACACCCTTGTAATTCTTCGCATTACACTTCTGGCATAAAAGTACTATCGAGATATGCTCGACGTCATGCAGAACGCAGATGAGAAGTTTGAGTGGATTGAGTGGCAGTTTAACGAGCGTAATTAATCTCTCCATTAATTTCTGCATCAACCAATTCTATCATACTTGTTTTATTTTTTATTTTTTGATGTACTTCTTGCGGATAATTACAGTTGATATTGTGCCTTTATCGTTCGTATATAACATTATGTTTTGTCAAGCATGGGTTTTAACTTATTTAGGTTTCTTTTGAAATGTTTAATTTTTTTTTGGTGAAAAATAGTGCGGCATGATTGACAACTCTTACGCACAACTTTTTTTTGGGAACCACGTTTTAACAGCAACAATGTCGCATGCCCAAAAAGTACACGCATCTTTTTTTTTTCAAACCCTGTCCTCTTATATAACTCCATTGGTTAAACACATGAGTGGTGACTTTTTCCTTTGCTGTGTAAAAAATTTTGTAATATTGCAAAATTTAGTGTTCTTCAATTTCCTACAATGGATGATCTCAACTTCAATTGTGCGCTTCTATCGAGCTCCAATGATGAAGAAGAAGTCGATGAGGAGGAGTTTCTTAACCAACTAGCGGAAGACGTCAAGACATGGGTTACATATTGTCAAATATCGGTAAACGATGCCAGTAACTACTATCTCAAACAATGAAGACGTATCCGATGATTTTCGTCTTAAAAAATGGCCACATGTTCATAAAGGAAGTAATGAAAGATAACAGCATGATGTGTTATCAAGAGTTCCGAATGTACCCACAACTACTGCGACATTTTGCACATATTCTGCATGACGAATATGGCTTACACAGTAGCCAATAGGTCGATATCTACGACAAAGTTGGAATGTTCTTATGTATATTAGCGAATGGAAAAGGATGCCACCAGGTGATAACTATTTTCAATCATTCGTTGCAAACAGTATACCATTATTTTAAGGAGGTACTCAATGCTGTCGTCACCTAATCGGCACGTCTCATACAATCAATACCAGACTACAACGAGGGTGATGACCCCTACAAGCAGGACCTGACTAAGCATCCTTTGTTTCAAGACTGCATTGGTGCTATTGATGGAATGTATGTGAAAGCTGTGCTATCGCGTAACAAGTAGGTGAATTTTATAGGTCGCAAAGGAGTGCCAACGCAAAATACGTTGGCCTTATGTGATTTCAATTTGTGTCACATTTGTGCTTGTTGGTACCACAAGAATACGCACGACGCGCGAATACTAGCTCCTGCTATACACAGTCCTGAAATTCATTTTTCATTACCCGTGCTGATTAAGTATTATTTGGTTGACTCCATGTTTGCTCATCGACCGGGCTACATGGCCCCTTACAAAGGATTAGATCTATTGTATAATTTTCAAGAGTTCCGCAATGATGGATCCGATCGTTATCGTCGATTTTGGAATGCTCGTGAGAGGTTTAACTATAGACACT